TCGTACATGCCTGTTTCCTGCTGTGCTCTTTTGGATGGTTTCAGCCTGCATGGTTTAATGCAAATTAATTCTGTACCAAACCGAAACTCTCGGCTGCTTGATCTTGTGTTGATGAACGAAGCTGTCGCACTGGAGTGCAGTGTCGCCGAGGCATCCGAGCCTCTGATACATCTAGACACCGATCATCCAGCGTTGGAAGCATTTATCAATCGATCAGCTCCTGTTCTCTATGAAGACATCGTTGATGTACAAAGCCTGGACATTCTACGAACTCTAGAACTGACTACGTTGCATTGGTCCAGGTAGATTGGCAGTCGCTTGACTTGTGTTCGTCCATTGATGAAGGCGTTAACTAATTCGACAAGGTAGTGGGCCAATTAATAATGGATTGTGTGCCTCTGAGAAGACCTTCTTCAAAACCTGCTAATGCTCGATCACAACATTTGAAGCTCGAAGGCTCTTCGCAAATACAGCCAGTCCCGTAATTCATTCACCAAGCGATCATTTTCGTTAGCAAGTAATTGCTACCGAATGTACAACCGTTTTCAATACAAGAAGTACTCAAGACGTATGCAGACCAATCTCCGGCGTAATCCTAAGCTATTCTGGACATTTGTGAAGACGAAAAGGAAAGAGGATGGGCTACCGGTTGAGATTCATCTAAGCGATAAAAGAGCCAACACTTCTTTAGAGAAATTTAACCTCCTGGCTGAGCATTTCAAGAGTGTTTTCAGCGATTCAACGGCATCGTTAAGCCAAGTTGCTGAAGGGATCAGAGATACTCCCAGTGACGCGTTCAGCTTTGATATTTTCACGGTCCCATTGGACCTCGTCGACTCTGCCATCCAGAAGCTGAAATTCTCGAACGCTGTTGGGCCTGAAGGCATTCCATCGTCCATACTCAAAAGATGCTCAACAGAGCTTTCCTCTCCACTTTCAAAGCTGTTCAATATGCCATTACAACTAGGTGTATTTCCTTCTCGTTGAAAATCTTCGTTCAAGAAAGGAGACACGCGAAATGCGGAGAATTACCGAGCAATTACTTCACTTTGTATCACGTCGTATACACGGATATCAACGTTGCTTTCGACCGGGTTGATCATACCATTCTACTTGCCACACTCGAGAACCTCGGTGTCTCTCATGAACTCACTCGTTGGTTTTCGTTTGACCAATCGAGAGCTTTGTGTGAAAATCGAGTCTGATCAATCGGAATATTTTTCAAACAACTCATGTGTTATTCTCGATATTCATTGACGAACTCGATTTGATACTTCCAAATGGCTGCCGGTTATTCTATGCAGACGATGTCAAGATGTACGTGGTTGTGCGATGCTTCACTGATTGCTTGTGAATGCAGCACCTGATCCATAGTCGCAAGCTAAAATCGAATGCATTCAATTATACGATCGATAACCAACCTCTGCAGGGTGTAGACAACGTTCGTGAACTAGGAATTACACTTGATTCTGCTTTGACATTTATTTGTTTATTTGGTTCTACATCAACAGACTGGTTTTAGTCCTAATGATGGATCAAGCAATACTAGGAAATACAATATAGTCAAGAAGTAACAAGCTGCAAAGGCCGTGAAGTCCAACTTAATTCCTAATTCTTAAAAATATATCACGGAATCTCTGACGCAGCGTCTCGCGTGCCAAGTGAAAATCAAATAAGGAAGCAACACGATTAAAACCCCTTTGTAGCCCCTCATTGATAGCACCATACGAACTATAGTTTTTACGACGAAAAGGTATCCTCAGCATTGCGTTGTTACGGAGTGCTCGTGGTTGAACGTTAACGTCGATTTGCTGTACAATAGAAGGACAATCGATTCTGCCCTGTAGAATGTCTGCCACAAACAGGGCCCTTGTCGTATCTCTTTGACTCCACAAAGGATCCAGGTGAATTAACTGGCACCGTAAATTAAATTCGTAGCTTGGAAGGCGATGAGGATCCCTTCAAGGCAATCGTCGAAGGGCAAATCATATGAATCGTCGTTGAATAGACTCTACTCTTTGTACACTGTTTTGGTAATTGAGATTCCATACAGGGCAGCAGTATTCTAACACCGACCGGACTAGGGAGCAGTAAAGCGACTTCAAACAGTAGATGTCCGTGAAACTTTTAGCTATCCTGAGCCTTGTCGATCACGTACGAATATGCTGGCTGTATGTGAGTTGACAATCTAAGGTGACTCCCAGACCCTTAATGTGATTTACACGATGTACGTCAACGCCTTCTAGGATATAACTGAATGTAATTTGATGTTTCTTCCGTGAGAACGTGATTACTGAACATTTTGTTGGATTTACAACCATGCGGTTCAGTTGGCACCAATTATCAAAAGCGTTGAGTTGGAATTGGAGAAGGTGGCAGTCAGCGATGGCTCGGATTTGGAGGTAGATTTTCATGTCGTCTGCGAACAACAGTCGAGGACGAAATTGACGACGTTCAAATACACACAAAAATATCAACGGCCCGAATTGGCTACCTTGCGGAATACCCGAAGTGGCAGGGAACGAAGGAGATCGGCAGTCGTCGATTGCAACTTTCAACTGACGATCAGATAGATAGGATGCGAACCATCGAAGGAGACTGCCGTTTATGCCGTATCAAATTGAAATCAGAATTTGCTGTTATGATGTAACTTATTTTGAATACTCCATTTGCTCTCATTTTGGTTGACTTAACAATTAACACAGCAAAAATGAGAGCAACATTTTACACTGTTGAATCAAACGGAAAACTAATCCTGCTTTCAATGAAATCATTTTGATTACTGATTTTGCATTTATAATGTTTAACTGAATACGAGCCTGGCGGTTAGCATCCATGCTTTTCACGCCGAAATACTTGATCTCAAATCTCACCTCGGTTTAGTCACGAATGACCTAAAATGTGTTAAACAAAACAAATAAACAATAATCGTTAGTTCAACGACAGATGAACTTAAATCAAATTTAAACAAGAAATTAACAGCAGAACTTCAAGTTAAGTTGCTTTGATTTAAAATGTCTTGACTGCATAATGAAAGCTCAATATGAAATCAGACTACTGTCGCGACAGTTGAAATCAAAATGAGTCTTCATTATGATAGGAACTGCAAACTTTATTATCGATTTGCTTTCATTTTGTTACCCGACTTTGCTCGGGTATCCAGCTTGGCGATCGTTACCCGAGCAATGACATATATGCATGGTCTGGCATACTCTCCGTAATGTACGAGGTGAGACACAGAAGGTTGGAAGTAGTCGACCGCCCTGCCATGAAACCATGCTGGTCTTCGCTCAAGTGCTGCTTGAAGTGAGAGACAAATGGTTCCATAACGACCAACTCGAACAGTTTAGATATGGCACACAACGATGTGATGCCGCGATAGTTGTCGATGTTTCTTTTACATCCCTTCTTATTCACTGGAAAAATCTCAGCTGATTTCCAGCAGGAAGGAAACAACCCACTGTAGAGGGACATTTCGAACAGAAGGCAGAGAGGAGCCACGAGGCTATCGATGTGTTGCTTGAGAAAGACGGAAAGAACTCCGTCAGGTCTAGGCTTAAATGAAGACTTCAGTTGCGAAGCCGCCCTAGTTATCATAGCGAGGCGAGGTCGATGTTGATAGCTGCCAAAGATTGACCAGGCATTTATGCTACATTGCACGGATATCATAGCCAAAGCTAACAGGCAACTCGGATTCATCTTGAAGATCTCTGATGAGTTCCGGGATGCTACCTGCTTGACAGCTCTATATTGTTCTCTAGTGCGATCGATCTTGGAATTTCGTGTAGTAGTATGGTTGTCCGCATGAAACAGTTTGGATAGCGAGGATCGAGTTTGTTCAGAGGAAATTCGTTCGTTACGCTGTTCACCACCTTCCTTGGAATGATCCAACAAACCTTCCACCCTACGAAGATCGTTGCCAACTCCTGGGTATTGAAACTCTTGAACGTAGGCGGAAGATTAACCAGGCAGTGTTTGCAGCAAAAGTGCTGATAAGCGAAATCGACACTTCCGGGATTTTTGGCTGAATTCGAAATCTATGCACCTGAACGAGCTCTACGATCGAACAGTTTCCTGCATCTCGGACCCCGAGCAGCTAATTACGGATTACATGATCCAATAAGGTTCATGTTTGCACGGTTCAATGAATTCTATGGTTTTTTCGCCTTCAAAATGAACCTGTGGATATTTGTCCACCACCTGCTCTACACCTTGTTTTGGGCCGCATGAACACTGCGAAAATGAGCCCAATTACGCTTCCTTCAAACTGATCGGCTGCCGCAAATGCAACTCAGCGTGCGCAATTTGGATTCGCTAGGCGTCATTGTAGATCGTTGCTGGATAAACGCACAGTTTTGATAGGAGGCAATCTTGATCGTCAGTTAAAGGTTTTGGACAATATACATGCAACATGCCACTGATAAGCCACTGCTTTGGCGATGAACTAAACGACGATTTCGAAAAACCCATAGATCTTTTTTGTGAAAGTTGGCTTACCGCAAACCTTCCAGAAAACCCTCAATTCCATTCCATTGTCAAATATCACATCACCGATTTTTGTAAGAGTACAGGGAAAGGCTTAGCCAGGTTCACGGAACAAACAATAGAAGCAATGCATCATGATTTCATCCAAACATGTAGTAACTTTAAAGTGGCGGAGAATCATATTAAATACGAACAGAATCTGTTGAAAGCTGTGGTTTCGTATAATAGTGCTCATTTAAAGTAAAATACGTTTTCTTTGTTGCATCACATGTTAAGCAAATTTTCATTAGATATTATATCTATTAATACTGATGAGAAATTAGTATCATTAGTACTGATAAGAAATGATGGAGATTATTAAAAATAATGCATTTAGAGAAAAGAATAACTGTTTTCATATTTTACTTATAAATGCATAATAAAACTATGGAAAAATCATGAAACCTTATGATCCCGGTAATAGACTCCCTTAATTTTTGAATGCAACCCACTCATTCTCATTTCCATTCACTTACCTTCTGATCGAGCTCCATCACAACGTTGGAGTAATGTCCGGCAGGCCACTGCTTCAACCGCCACGTCTGATTAATCTTTTTGTTCGGGACGATGTCACCAAACTTGCCGCAGACGTTTCCTCCGAACAAAACGAACCTAAAATAAAACCAATCGCTCAGAACTTCAGACTCACATGTCAAAACATGTTCCCCCCTCCGAACTTACTCTCCACCCTTGAAAAGATCCAGCTTGACGTGACCTCGCGTGAAGGCCGTCACCATGTCCGTTCGGGTAAGTGCGTCGTAAAGCTCGTTCGCCTGACACTGAAACCGTTCAACGGTTTCCAGCGTTTTCACGTCCAGCTTGACGCCAACATTCTTAGGTTCGCTAATCACAGTCTGTAGCTCGATCTTCTGCTTGTTAACACCGCTAGCGTAGACGGTTTCCTTGTCCGGTTTTACCATCTTGACACCATCCTGTTCCTGACCCTTCTTGGGCAAGATGAGTCCTTTGGCAAAGTTCTGCTTCAGATCGTTGATGTAGGTTTCCAGCTGCTTCCGCAGTTTATCCCGACCAACGTTGTACATGAACACTTTTAGCTTCTCCGAGGCATTGTTCGATTCGTCCACCGAAACCGTCAGTTCCACCTCATCCACATCGTTCTCCTCCGAAAGATTCGGGATGGAAACCTTGCCGGTCACGTCCTCATCGTCGACCGTACCCTTCCACTTGAGGATAATGTTCCACTCGTAGAAGAATATTAGCTTCCCTTTACGGTTGTTGGCAGTGGCTTCTCCTTCCATTTTCTCAATTTCGACAACCTTACACTCCTGTCCGGAGCCACTGATTACAAAATCCTTCAGCAGGGCTATCAGTTTGTCCTTCGACCATGGTGTGGCATTTTTCTCTGTCCAGTGCCAGTTGTTTACGTTCGTGGCATCTGGTCGTTCCTCGACGATCCAGCGTGGATCTCCTTCACCCCATTTGGCCATTTTCCCGGAAAAAAAATAAGGGTTCCACCAGAAGAAAACCTCCAGAAAAAATCAAGCACTTTTTGAGGTTAGTCCCTGTTACAGCTCTCGACGGCGAAACTTTTTCTGCGTTCTACAGAAAAAACAACCAAATTTGCAAAGTCCAATTTGAAACACAATTTTCAAACGTTATGACTTTTCCAATAAATTATGCTCGTAGTTTTAGAACTTTCCCCAATGGAATTTTCTACAAAATGAGTTGAACTGACGGCTGATCAGGAAGAAAAACACTGCTGTCTTCAGCACGGAATGATTCTAGACTGTTCGGCAACGTTCGGGAAATCGATTCTCCGTCCGATTCATCGAAGCTACTGTCAAGAGCGTCAAGAGCGAAGCGAAAAACGAACACTGACAGTTCTATGCCCAGTGAAAAATATATGAAACCGAATATTTTCACTTTTCATACCAGTTTTCATATAAGGGGTCAAAAAAATAATAAACTAAATTAAAATTTCTTAAAATTAAAACGCCTAAAACACTATCTCGAATTGATGTTAGAAAATAAAGAATGTTTCGGAATAAATTCAATAAACACTCATATAGCATTAAACTACATGATTAATTTTATTTCATTGATACTTACAAGTAAAAAAGGGAAATGATTCATACGAGTAAAAGCAGATATACGCATACGTACCCAGGGGGTAACCACCGATCGCCCGCACCGTCTTTTTAGATAGCCGTCCCGCGTTCCAAGTTCTGCTTGATCTCGGTCGTATGTTCGCCGTAGAACCGTTCCAGCTTCTTGTTGAATCGGGCATTCTTCTCGTTAATATAATCGATATCGGCATCATCGTTGTGCGTCCTCCTGCGGGAGAATTTCTTCCTCTTATCGATCTGCTGTTCCAGATCCTTCACCATCTTATCGATAGCCACCGGAGTATCCTTGTGTAGCCCTTGCAGGACCACATTCGGTCCACCGTAGAACGCTTCCCCGTACCGTTCCTTCTGCTCTTCATACTTGATCAAATCCCTTGGTTCCATAGTCTTCACCAGCCGATTGTACTGCCGTGCCGTCTGCGCTTCATAGTCCGAGAATCCCGGATCGGCGTTCTTCTTTTTGACCTTCAGTTTATGGAATCGTTCCGCTTCGGCTGCGGAAACTTTCATCATCTTCACTCGGTTATAATCCAGCCCCTTGGCCTCTGCCTCCGCCTTCGCCTTACTATCGTCAATCAGCCAGTCTGCTTGCCGTTTGCGTGCTTCCCAATTAGCTGGTAACTTCTTTTGTTCGTCCTCAGCGACTACTTCCTGGTGGTTGGAGTTCCTGGCTTCGTTCCGCTGCATATGAAGTTTCTTCAGCCGTTCCATCCGTTCGGCGTGTTTTTCGCTGAAACTTTTGGCTACCGCTGATGGTTCCGGCTGGGAAGAAGATGCGGCCACTGCAGTAGAGTCCATTTTTATGAATATTCACGATGTTTTACAAAAAAAGACGGGAATGGACGAGAAACTCCGTCGTTGTTTTCGCGAGTGAAAACAAAAACAAAAATGTGACGTTTCATTCGAAAGTTGCGGACGCACTCCTGTCGAGGAAAAGGGTTTGGGTCGTTTGGGTCGAAAAAGTTGAAGTTTAGTCCATCGCGATTTTGTATATACACTGATAAATTTAATTATTCCCATTTTGCTTGAAATTTAATCAATTTGAAATTAAACTCAGTTCAATCATATCAAATAATTAAAAATTAATCCCCTCTTTCTAAAAAATAAGCATCTGATATTAATCCCAGTTTAATCATGGTTGATTAGATTGTAGATTATCTTTTTTTGAATAAATTTTAATCATTTTTGATTCTATTTTGATAATTTTTGATTAAATTTTAATCTTTTTTGATTATATATCAGTATTAAAAAAGAATAAAATTTAAAACTGGAAAGATTTTTCGATTTTAATCATGCATGACTACTGCCGAAGTAATCATTGCTCGGACTCAATAAGGTGAAGCGGGAATCTGCATACATATATAACTTACATTTTAAGAGCAAATAACGAAGGCATAGACAGGAGGAACTTCTTATCGTTTGCCAAACTATGCCGATACAGACTGACTGTTTGAAACGTGCACTTAAAAAAATATTCAGTTAAAACAATCAAAGTAACCATTTGGACTGAATAAAATATATAATTGTTACACACAAAGAACAAAAATTGTTGCTATAAAAATAATGCAATTTCAATTTAAAAGTTTCGCAAAATTCGTAGTTTTAACTGCGAAAAAATTCAAAATGAAAATTGATTTTTTGATTTAAAAGTGTTTCTTTCAATTTCGACTTGTAATTATAAAAGTGATTTTTTTTAAATAAAAGTTGTAGTACTTTCAAAAATTCTTCTTCAAAGCAAAGTTTTTGGCAGCACTGGACTTCTGTTTACCGCCACTTTCGACTAAAAACAAGCAGATTCCCACACTTTACTTTCACCGGTTTCTCCCAGCCCCCGGAATCGCGTTTCTGGTATGCCTCCGCTAGCTTATTTTCGACGGATTGGAGGCAATTATCACCTCGATTATCATGGCAGATGGAGGGAAACAATCCAAGCAATCCAGGAGAAAATCATCAAGGTGAGAAGTTTTGGAAATGGTTCGATGATGGTTTTCATTCGTTTTACTTTTGCAGTACCGTAACCAGAATGCTGCTTCCGAAGACGGTTTTGCTGCCAAATATAGCGGAGTTTAATGGATATCGGGCATCGGAATGGATTCAGAATCTAGTAATCATGCATTAATTAATTTCAAGAGTTTGTTTTAAACATGTTTATAATTTTCAGTGGAACCGATCATCTTCTCATTCCTGAAAATGACCAGCACTCACCCCAGTAGAATGTTCTACAAAATATTCCTCGCTTAAGGCTGTTGCGATTGATGTCACACCAAATGCCCGTTACCGATTCCGTTACACCATCCTCAATGTCTGTTCCGGTGTTCCCCTCATGTGGATCGGAAGAGTAAAAATGGCGTGAACAAGTTGAGCATCAGCTCATCTTGGTATCGGGAAGAGAAGACATACCTAATGAATTTATTTTTATTGTTATATCGAGTAAATACATTTTTTATTAAAATTTTATATTTTTACTTCTTCGCCAATCAAATTTTAACAGATTTTGAAATGAAAAACGATGTTATTAAATTGAAAACACTGTTTTTTTATAACTGAAAACGTTTATTTTTAACAATAATAGTGCAGCATTTAATTTTAAAAGGTTGAAAAAAAATCAATTTTAATTTTAACACTGTCATGCTTTTCATTTGACATTAGTACAATTCAGTTTGAAAGTTGAAACTTTTAAAAGTAGTGATCGGGAAACTTTTGATTTGATAATGTATCGACTTTCATTTTGAAAGCTAATCGCTTTCTACCAAAAAGAACCAATGCAAACTTTTATTTCTACAGATAGTTTTTTTTAATTTTAGCAACGATTTTTCTTTGTGTGTGCAAACCAAATTTCGTTTATTTAAATCAATTGCATTAATGATGCATTCAATGAAATTTATAGATTTGATGTGAATGGAGTGCTATATTAATTTAAAACTTCTTCATGAACTGAAACAAACCGAGACATTGTATTGAAAAATAACAAAATATTTTATTAATTCACTACAGAGCGTTTTTTCTGCGTGAGAAAGTCGACGAAGATAATCTGTCAATGTTACTTAGGACTTAATGCAATGTTCAGCTTGATATCTTAGTTTAATTTTTTGTTAAATAAAATCAAGCTGATCATTTCATTAGGTCCTAAGTAACATTGATCGATTCTCTTCATCGACTTTCTCTTTAGTTAATACAGTGGGTATAAAATGCTTGATAATCCCTAATAAAAAATTACCATACACGAATGAACCCAAATAATAGAACTATTCCACAAATGGTTTGGATGATTAAAATCGTTAAGCAAAAAAACCATAACAATTTTATTATGGAATTTCTTTCATCGATCTGTGAGATGAAAATAGCTTGGAATGTTTAAACATGGATGAAGGAAGAAAAGAGAAATTTAACGAAGAGAATCTGTCAACATTACTTAGGACCTAATGCAATGTTCAGATTGAAATATAAATATAAAAAAATAAAGTTTTTCCTCGTGTTTGCCAGCAATAGGGTACAGTAGAGGGGGAACGACACTCATTTTGATGTATTTTTTCAGTCTAGTAATTACTTGGGACTTTCGGGGAAAAACATGATTGATGGGATTTTTTGAGTGTGTCCTGTTGACGAAAATAGAGCACGGATAGAAAAAAATAGATGGAATAGATCAGGGAATGGATGTGAGGGGTGAGGGGTGTTAAAAAGTTTCAGAGGAATACAAGTCCGAACGCGAAGACGATAGGTGTAAAAAGAAGAAAAATCTCCATTAATAACGTGACGCTGATAGGGGGAGGGGGGGAGGATCACCTATATCGTTACGTATTATTACATAGGAGAGGATGAGTAAAGCTTTCCGTGATTTTTGCTATGCTTAAACTTTTGAAAATCAGGTACTTCGATTTTGATAAAAATACAATAACCTAGAAATTAAAAAGGCATACCGGAATGAAAAATTAATTAAATGAGATGGGCGGGGGGGGATGTATTTAAGAGCGTTACGTAATAGGATCATTTTCAGTGTTTGTTCTGAAGGGGGGGGGTCGAAAATTTTGATTTTTAGCGTAACGTAATTAATGGACACCGCCCAACAATGTTAACCAAAGATCACAGCTCCAGTGCAGAAAACGGTTCCGTACAAAATAGGTCGAAACTGCACAGTATGAGGAACGGGTGGTGGCGATGGATCACTAGGTTCCGGTTAATATTCCCAGCTTTATTTGGACGGGAATTTGATTCACCATATTCTCGCACAGAAACTCCATCAGCCGGTGTGTGTCTTCCTTCACCATTAGCTCTTTCTTCTCCGGATCCTTGACCAGCAGCAGCAACGAGTAAAACTTGGGCCGGTTGGAAAAATGACCTGAATTCCTTCTGTACCTGCTTGTCGTAACTTCCATGCTACAACACACAGACACCTGGGCTCTTATCCGTCGAATTCGATCGGTTTAAGTCCGGGAAATGGATGTGCTTTACCGTCTTCTCTGTGATGCACTTGATGTTGTACCGCGAACGATTTTAGACGAGTGGTCCGTCATCTTTTTTAAGTTTTTCAATTTTTAACCGGCATACCCGAAAAAAAAAATACAGTGAAATTTTCAGTGGAAACAATGCTCTAACATTAATATTTATTGTCGACAATAAAAAAGATTGTTATAATGTTGTACTCTTCCGAAATAATTATTTGACAACCGTTATAACATGTTATAACTCTCCAGTCTGTACAGCGTTTTCCACTCAAAAGGTTTCCAAATCTAAATAGATTTAAAGTTACACTAAATCACAACACAGAAAAAAAATGTTGTTGAATATTACATCCAAACTGCTGCAACCAGGTCAATCCATCAGTTGTGTAATATAACCATAGAGGTAACTCTAAGACCACTGGGTCCCGAAGAAAATCATTATTATTTTTGGCTCACTCAGTACCAGAACAACGGTCCCAAGCAGTCCCAAGCTATTTCACTCACCCCTGCATGTTCTGCATGAATCCACACACCCCTGATGTTATCTGTCAAACTTTCATAGCGAATCAAAACAAACATAGTGTAGTAATAGAATTTCAACTAGAATAGGGTACGTTAATCGTTTGCTTGGGACCAATAGGCTACTAAAGTGGTGAGCCAATTTAAAATCGTTGGTTTCGTATTGATTGTTGATATAACGTTGTACGATGTACATCGATTTTGCGAACAAAACTACATCCATTGATGTAATATTGTATCTGTTTTTTGCTATTACATAATTATTTCATACATCAGCTTGAATTACATAAATCGATACTACATTTTTTTTGCTGTGTATAAAGAGAGAGAATACAAACTTAGTATAAAAATGATTTATTCATTGAATGGCCTGCTTATCCGTCAGAATGCGTTTTTCATGATGTAAAGTGAGGAATTTTGAAATAAAGTAAACAAAAGATCTGGAAGTAATGGAATTGTGTTTTTATTGAAGCACAAAAAAAAAACACCATGGCAGCCGAGAAAGGAATGTACGAATATTAGTGATAATAATCCCACAATTAGGCTGCAAATAGACGTAACATCTGGTGCAGGACAGGTTAGAATCGGTCCTTCAGATCTAGTCATGATCTTGTAGATTTTGCACGAACGTAATCGGACTGGTTCCTCCTCCACGTAAACCCAACGACTGTTGATACCGTTTTTGCAGTGTGATCTGTCGGTTCTCTCTGTCACCCGCGCATAATCGTATTCAACATATCTCTCTCATGTGTTCCCAAACCCGACGATAGCAAACGACCTAAAACAGCATTAAAAAGTCGAACTTCTTTGTCAACTCCGAGTCAATCACATCAAACCCTTTCGTACCTGATTTTGGATTATAATCAGCTTCAGATTGCACTTAATGTCCACGT